TGTCTAAGTAATATTAGAATTTTCTGAGACAATTAATTTTGGTTTTTCATTTTTTTTTCCCTTGTAAGAGGTTTTTATTAAATAGAATTTTAGACAAAAAAATCGTAATATATCGCCTTGCTTATAGTACCGCAATATATCGAGATATATCGTATCGTGACCCCTCTGTCACGATATGTATCGTATCGCCAAATTCTTGCCAATACACAGCCTTAATTTTATGTGCATTTCAGTGATAGGCAGAAAGAAACACAATAGTCTGATGGAAAAATAACAACTCAATCTGCCATCATCTCATCCTTTTCTCCGAAAAAAGAGGAACCCTCTGACCACCTTTCTGACCGAGGCCCAACGTTATTTGAGAAGTGCTAAAAAAAATCTATAAGAAGAAAATAAAAAGACACGAAAATTAAATGAAGTTCAGATGTAACGTATACAACATGTTCATCACACGGAATAACTGATCAAGCAGTAGCACAGGTGCAACTTATGAAACATCACACTAGAAAGGAAGAAATAAAAAACTATCAGAGTTGATCGTTTRCTACCACGTTTAAAAAGAAAAGAAAAACGTGTGGGCTCAGATACAGAAACTTCTGTGCCGCCAAAAAAGAAAAAARGAAATCTTAAAATACATATTTATGAGAAAGACTTGGACCCAGTTCAACAAAAATAAAGGGGGGGAGGACGGGGGGAAAAAACTGGAGCGGTAGTCCAGTCCTGCCAAGTTGTCTTGTATTCCAGGAGGAGTCGTATGATACATTATGGTGCTGACGTTTCAAGGGTACTTGTTCAGAGGGGGTTTCTGGATAACTCCATCAGATAAGCTGGCCAAYGTTTAACAGACCGTCTGTTCTCCGCCACATCAAGGAGACTTCTTCATCACTGCCTCAGTGCTTCTTAAGAACTACTTGGGTTTTTKTCCCCCTTAATCAGCAACATCGTTCGGTTATTTTAGTAACGTGCCAGAGGAGTCCAGATGATTTGTGACAGTTCTAATAAAGAGATGTTGTATTTTTTTTTATTTAGTTGTTGATGAGGGTGTAATATGTTGTCTCGCTGTGATCGCGTTACTGAGAAACAAAGTCGAAACGTGTTAATGGTAAAGAAACATGATTAGACCTAATAACCTTAGCTGCAAAAAAACAAAGRAAAAATGGGATAATGCATGTACAAAGTCTAAAAAATAAGATATACACTACAATAAAAAGATGTTCCTTTTWGTTCATTTATCACCAAATCCCCCCTGCAGTCTTGACATTAATAATTTGCTCATGCTCCTCCAACTGGGTGAGACTCAGACGTGTTATGTTGTAATCTAGCACGCTGTGTGACGGCTTTGACAGTGAAACACCTGAACAGGAAAAAGAAAAGGAGGGGGAATATCTAGAAGACAAAC